GTTTGTGTGGCCTCGAGTGTTTTCATTCGCAGGTTCTGAGTCTATACAAAATTGAACTGGGCCGGGTGCGTGATCTGAGGGAAAAGAGGACAATATAGCTGGACAATTGAGCGGTAGTTTGCATGAATTTATCGTCAAAAACATAATGGAGCTGTTAGGATTTGACTTGTCAGTGACTTGGCTGCTGGTCATTGGTCTCGTTCTCGTGTCAGTTTGGTACGTACTTGATCTCAAGTTCAACAATCCTTTTATTTTTTTCACAGTCACGAACTGCTTCGGGAAGAATGTTGCATCTTGACACCAATTTTTTTCATCATGTTGAAGAGACATGAATCTGGGACTGAGAAACATTTCCAATTTTAGTATAAACTGCACTCGAATCTCCATAGACTTTGTACACGACCAAAGAAGTGGCGTCTGGTTACCACACTCTTTTCAATGCGTCTGTCACTGCTGTATTCTTGCAGTCAATCGGCAGCGCACTGTATGGTAAAAGCAGTTCACTTTACGTGCAATGAATGGCATTCAGGTGCGTGACCATGACCTCTGTTTGAATACTTAACGAGCCGGCGACGATGCATGAAATTTGGTCCGAAATATTCGTTTTATTCGTCAATTGTCAATATTATGTACGTTTTCTTGCAGATAGGGAAAACATTCTCTTGCATTTATCACCAGATCGGAACATACGTGATATCCATTTATAGACGGGGTGAAATCTGTAACGCGGAATGTTTTTCCATCCTCAACTATTGGCATTCCAATGAAAAAAACGATGAGATCCTCCATCTTTTGACAGTGGCCACAGCACAATTTCCCATTAACGTCAAAGATAATTTCATATTCTATCAAAAGAATGGTCGATTTCGCGTTGATCTTCCATTGCTTTAACCAGGGCGCAGAAAATTCTAATGGTCGTCAAAAAGACCAACAACAAAACATCCTGCAATGAGAGTACGTGCATTTCCGTTCCCTCATAGGTCAAAACTAGGTCTTGATAATAACGTTTGGTTTTGGACAGTACAGACTTCGAAATGCTCCTGGTGCCAGATATAGATATGAAGCCGAAGTGATGACGAAGCCCAGGTTTTGAACACCCACAAGCATGCGCAGTATAGTGCTCAAACTTAGGCTGGTTTCAAACCTGGTTTCCTGGTGAGCCGTTAAGTTTGTCTGCATGGACTTTGTGCAATTGTGAACACAATGAATTGAAGCAAACTTATCGTTATACATGTATAGGTCAACGGTGTTATTCACTTTATCACCGAAATACAGTTTAATGTTTTCTGATTTTGGATTTAGAATTGTCTTTGGTCTTGCCAAAGAAGGTCGGTATAGGAGACCAAACTCTCAAATCAGCCACTCTGTTGTGTTTTGTTAATTCACACCTTTGAAAGTTGTGTTAATTGTTTCACTACCTAGTGTTTAATACTATTTTCTAAGCTCTTGGCCGTTATGGGAGGGGGTGTCAGGATTGGAAAAGGGTAGGACATTTTTTTTCAAACTCTATCTGTGTCTCTGATATTGGCAGATATTTTCTCTAAAAACTGTGTTTAGCAATTAAACACAATTTTGCTATCACTTTGTAAACATGTTTAGAAGCTAATAAACTATGTGTTCAATTCCTAAACATCGATGTTCAAATGCTAAACACGATCCATTCTTACTCTAAACATGTTTAGTATGTAAACATGCTTACAAACTGATGGCAAGAAAGTGTTAAGAAAAGTGTTTAATTGCTAAACACAGTTTTAGCAGCGTAGAGGTAGATGATTTTTAGATGTT